GTCATGTGTTCTTGTTTGGTGGAACAACAATTTCTTGGTTAAGTAAGAAACAGAGTTGTGTTGCAAAGTACACTATGGAAGCTGAATACATAGCTTCCAGCATAGCTGTGAGTAATGCGGTCTGGATAAAACGATTTGTTGATAGTTTACAATTAGGTATACTTGCCAAATCAGTCAATACGTTTTGTGACAATCAGTCTGCCATCGCATTAATAAAAAGTGGAGCGAATAGCTCCAAGGGAAAACATATTGATGTAAGTTACCACTATATTCAGGACATAGTGGAGAGAGGTGAAATTAAAGTCAACTATATACCCTCAGAAGAGATGGCGGCTGACCTTATGACCAAAGGGTTGTCTTTGGAAAAACTCAGAGAACAGTAGTTAATATGGGTTTGAAAAATGCCTAGCTAGGTGGTTTAGCTACTTATATAAGAGCATAGTCGGATGACTCTGGGGATGCCTAGATAATCGATGTTTTGCGACTCTATCTTGCATGGAAACATGTGTTTGGTTAGATAATAAGATAGAGGAACTAACAAGATATGGACATTATAGTTAGCATGAGATGTAAAGTCCATGATATGCAACGTGCTGACTAGATGATATTGTCTGCTTGATCAACAAAAAGTTGCTGATAATGTGTGTTAAGGAAAACCTTCAAGAATGGGCCTTAGAGGAAATACTTAACAAAAATTTCGGCGCAAGAACACATGAGGAATGTGTGCGACTGAAGCTGTCAATGGTGATTGGGTATGGACTATGAACCCAGCACTGAAAATTAATGTTGTTCATTTGAAATATAGTGAATTGAAGTCATCTGAAATGTGTTGTCAGTGGGAGAACACATTCGTACAGGTGTGGTCAGATTGGTGGCAAAAACGTGGCCAAGTCACAATCAGATGTCGATCTATAAGGTAATTTCATAGATGAAAGTGGGAATGAGGCAAGATTTTGGTGCCAAGGTAAATATGCCTAACTCAGGTTTTATCACCAATATTATAATGTGATCAAGTGGGAGATGAAGGTATAAGAGGTGATTACACCATAATATGGTGGACCTTCTCACACCAAATCAAAGCTTTATATGGTGATTCAATCTTTCTGCAGGAAGAAGTAACTGGAAGTAGGAAGTTAGAAATTTGAATGAAGAGTCACAATGTTTGGAACCATGGTGACCGTTGAGTTTGAATTCAATAGGTTGTAACCATTGATTAACAACCATCATACACTATAAATATATGGACAATACATAGGTTCAAGACACTTAAATTTCTCTCTGTTTTTCCTTTTCTAGATTATTTTCTTCTATGTGATTAAACACCCTTACGGGAACTTCGATCCACTGCCATTGTTAAGACTATCTTACAGTCTATGGGTATTTTTGAATTCAACGGTAAAAAGAGAAAGCTGGAGTGATGATGAAGATATAGAGAGACAGATTTGATATATATGTATATATTCAAGCATGCCACCTCGTTGTCTGAAAGAACAGGGATTTTGAAATGAAAGCTATTTCTTTTCCTTGGAAATTTAATTCCTTTAAGATTTTGATGTTTTATTATCTTGTTCTCTTTAATATTATTGGAAAACACTATGATACACACTCTACAAAAGGTATGTACCATATGTACTTTATCTCTCTAGTTGTGTGTGTGTTTATCTGTTGTGTTTTGGAAAGAAAATGATAGATTATCTGTTCAAATATAAGACAAACACACACACAATCACAATTTGAACAGATACAAATATAGGATCAAAATTTAAACAAATAAAATCACAAAATTGAACAGATAGGATCAAAATTTGAACAGATAGATTAAAAATAAGCTTTGTAAATTTAACAGATAGATTCAAAAAAATTCAACAAATTGAGAGAGAAGAGAAAAGAGATAAATAGATAGAGAGATAAAGAGATGTGAAGAGAGAAAGTTTGAAAATAGCTTAAATTTGAACATATAAAACAAATAAATTATAAAAATTCAATAGATAAGTTAAAAAAATTCAACAGATATAAAAAAAATGTAAACAAATAGACAAAAAACTTAAACAAATAGAAAATAATTTGAACGGATAAATTTTTTTTAAAACAAATACATATAAATTTGAACAGATTGTCAACGAAAAGTCAAACAAATAAAAAAAGCCAAGGGGTAAAATTGGAAACAAAATATTTTCTAAGACTGCTCACAAAATTATTTTACAAAACGTGGACCTCTCATCAATAAAAAAATATCCCTTCAACCTAATGTCTTAGACAATTGTTATAGTGGATTTTTCACCAATTTTCTCTATAAATAATCCCACAATTTTTATATAAGTATACTAATTTTTTTAGTAAAAAATTTAAAAGACCAAAATTAATGCAAATATTGTTAAAATACAAAAATAATTAGAAAATATATACATTTCAATATAAATGAGATGATAACATCATTTTTCTATCAATATGACTAACAAATTATTAATACAAAGAGGATTAAATATTTTGTTAATTAAAACTTTATGAGAATTAATAGGAAAAATTAGTCTAAGATCTATCTCTCATTTTTAGTAATGGAAGAGATCCACAATATTATTTTATAATGTCTAAGGTCCCTCAAGCCTACATTCATTTATCACAGAGAAATTTGATTCTCTCAAATCAAATCTCATTTCTCTCTCTCTCTCTCTCGCTAAATCCAAACCTTACTTGATCGAATCCCTAAATCTCTCTTCCGAAAACGAATCGAAATCCAAACCCAAATTCGAATGCAAATCCAAATTCAGAGTCGAAATTGCATTCGAGTTCATCAACATCGCGTAATTCTCTCTCTGAATCTGCAAATTTATTAACCCAAATCTGGCAACGCAATCTGATTGTAATGCCTTAGATTGTTCAATTCCGGTTGGTTTCTCTGGAGAAGAAGCAACTTTTCGACAAGTAATTGACAAATTCAACCCCACTACCACGATCACCCTATTTTTGCTTCAGTTTCGGCCTTCGATTCCTTCTTATGCGCTTCAACACAACGAGAAAGAAAATTTCTGGTGACGAGATTTCAGTGCCAGATGGGCAAAGACCTTGTATATTGTACTGCAATTTCTGGTGATGAGATTTGAGTAACAAGTTATGAAGCGCTTGAACAATTGAACGAAGCTCAACATTACGAGTAAAAGGCTGTTAAGCAGCCTCTGCAAGTGGATCGGCTAAGAGTGTAGACGGAGTCAATGTTTTAGTGGTGAATTTTGGGGGTAACAATAATGTTTCCAGACCTAGTTGCAGTTAGAATCAAGGAAGGTAGGTATCTGGTTTGTTAAAATTTCTTTGGTTGTTCAAATTTTTCTGGTAGGTGTTTGGTTTGTTCAAATTCCTCTAGTTGTTCAAATTTCTTTAGTAGGTCGTTGTTCAAATTTCTCTAGTATTGGATTTTCTCTACATTAGTGATTTTTTCAACAAAATCGAAATTTCTCTGGAGGGAAACAGAGAGTTTCTCTGGGTTTGATTTCTACTTTTCAACTCCAAATTGATTGTTCTTATTGTATTTTTGGTTATGACTTTGAATTTTATCTACATTAGCTATTTTTTCAACAAAATTGAAATTTCTCTCTGGAGCCAATGTGTGAACCATGGAACACATTTTGCCTGAGGTTTATGATTGTCAACCAGAAAAGATTGTGATGGAGAATTTCTCTGGGTTGAAGAGGGGGATTTTCTCTGGTTTGAGTGATTTTCTCTGGGTTAGAAAAGAATTTTCTTTGAATTTAAGTGAATTTCTCTAGGTTAAAGGGGGATTTTCTTTGGGTTTGAGTGAATTTCTCTAGAGTGGAGGGGAGATTTTATCTGGTTTTGAAGAATTTCTTTGGATTGATGTGAATTTCTCTGAAAAGTCCAGAGTGGTGAGATTTTCTCTATAAAGTCGAATTTTCTTTGAATCAATTTAAGGGACCTTAAACATTATTAAAATATTGAATATCATTTATGTTCCAGACATAGTTGTAGTTAGAATCAAGGAAGGTAGGTATCTGGTTTGTTAAAATTTCTCTAGTTGTTCAAATTTTTCTAGTAGGTGTTTGGTTTGTTCAAAATTCAAATTCCTCTAGTTGTTCAAATTTCTTTAGTAGGTCGTTGTTCAAATTTCTCTAGTATTGGATTTTCTCTACATTAGTGATTTTTTCAACAAAATCGAAATTTCTCTAGAGGGAAACAGAGAGTTTCTCTGGGTTTGATTTCTACTTTTCAACTCCAAATTGATTGTTTTTATTGTATTTTGGGTTCTGACTTTGAATTTTATCTGCATTAGCGATTTTTTCAACAAAATTGAAATTTCTCTCTGGAGCCAATGTATGAACCATGGAACACATTTTGCCCGAGGTTTATGATTGTCAACCAGAAAAGATTGTGATAGGGAATTTCTCTGTGTTGAAGAGGGGGATTTTCTCTGGTTTGAGTGATTTTCTCTGGGTTAGAAAAGAATTTTCTTTGAATTTAAGTGAATTTCTCTAGGTTAGAGGAGGATTTTCTTTGGGTTTGAGTGAATTTCTCTGGAGTGGAGGGGAGATTTTATCTGGTTTTGAAGAATTTCTCTGGATTGATGTGAATTTCTCTGGAAAGTCCAGAGTGGTGAGATTTTCTCTATAAAGTCGAATTTTCTCTGGATCAATTTAAGGGACCTTAAACATTATTAAAATATTGAATATCATTTATGCTATAAAATCTTAATAACATGGATCTTTAAAAAAATTCCCAATTTAATATAATTATGTTAAAAATATATAATTTAAAAATTAAACGAATTATCTCATTGAAATATGATTATAATGAACCCATAATAAACTAGATTGACTGGCCATTATGATGCGTTTTAGAAAATAAATGTATATATATATATTAATAAAAAGTCAATAATAATAATAATAATAATGATAATAATGATTCATAACAACATTTGTACACTTCTACTTAAGAAAACATAAAATAAACCAAAATAAATTTATTATCACACAAATTATACATATCTTATTACACATTTTTATGTAAAATGTATAATTTCTTTAAATTTCTTAATATAACATTAACTAAATCTTTTAAAGAAATATACAAAACACAAATAAACAAATTTTATGTGATTTCCCTCCATGAAATCAAAATTGAACATAATTCATCCGATAAACTATTTTCATGAAAAGAAAATTTAAAAAAAAAAATAGTATATTCAAAATTTCTCATCTTTAACGTATTGCTTCACAGCATCTCTCATGTCCTCAAACCTGTCAGATCCTTCAAAAAACTCCATCAACCGCCGGAGTTCATCATCCAATAAATCGTCGGTAAACGGTCGAATTGGAATCGCATTTTCGGGCTGCAAAGCATACGAATTCGGGTTATCGTCGACGATCACAACCCTCTTCAGGTCTCTCCTCAACCCGGCCAAATCTTTGACGAACTTCCCGTTGACTTCCCAGCACGAGTCCCGGTACAGCCGGTATGAAATCGCAGAATTCCGGTCAAGCTGATCGAGAACAAGCGACGCATATTCCCTCCGCCCGGCAGTGAATACGACTAATTCGAATCTTTTGCTGAGAAATTCGAGCAATTCGTCGACGAATGGGCGTTTCAATACGTAGAAATCGACGCTGAATCCGTCCATGATCGGCTTTACGACGAAATCGTAGTTTTCTGGGTGCGAATCGGATTTGGAATGGATTAAAGTCTCGTCGAGATCGAGAAAAATGGTTCTTTTTTCGGGAGAAGAAGGAGGCGGGAGAATGCGGTTGCCGCCGCCGGAGTACTGGGGTCGGCGGTGGAGGTTGGCGGCGGTGATGGTTTGGAGGATTCGGTTGCCCTGTTTTTTGGGGTGGGTTTTGTTGTTGTTGTTTTTCTGAGGACGGGTGCAGATTTTGGAAAGTTTGGAGAAGATTTTGATGAGGCGGCGGTGGAAGGTGGTGATGATGGTGGCGACGACAGTGGTCTTTATGGAGTACTTTTTCCGGCGGTGGAGGAGGCTCCGCCGCTCTTTGGTGGGTCTTGTGGGTATTTTCTTGAAAATCTTTGAAACCATTTGAGAGAGAGAGAGAGAGAGAGAGAGAGGGGTTTTGGCGAGGATTGAAGATTTGGGGGTTGTGAAAGAAAGGATTGAAAGTTTTGAAATTAGGTGGGGAGCAACGGTCGAGGGCTAGGCTTGGAGCCGAACCAAGTTAGTTCCAAAAATAGGAGGGGTGACCTTGGAAAATTAGAATACACAACTGGCTTTACCCAAATATATACATATATATATATATATATATATGTGACAAAATAAAATAAAATAAAATAAAATAAATGAGGTATCATTTGACGAAAATTGCTAAAAAATAAACCAATTGTTATTTGATTACTACTGTTCTAGCAAAAAAGCTTAAGTTATTTTAAGCAACATAGTCAAAAAAAATCATATGCTAAATAAATTGATTTTTTTAAGCACAAATTTAGGTACCAAAAGATATTTAAGTTCCACAATTTTACTTGCCATGTTTTTTCATTAATTTTGTGATGATTACCTCCAAACAAGAGAACTAGTTATGTGTATTCAAGTAGAATATATGATATTAAAAATGAAAAAATCAGTAACATGTACCATTTCTTTATGAGATTATGTGAAATATGTATTAAATTTTAATTTTGTCTAGCATTATCTAATTCTGAGCAAACGCTTATTGGACAGTTGTTAACGAACATTTTGTAAAGATGATACTATCATAAAAAATTGTATATATTGTTGGTGGACTTATGTGTTTTAGTGACATTTAATTTAGACATATTGTTGTATAATAGTTTAAGATATTATGATTTTGAGTTTGAAAAAGTGGATGATGTTGTGGTTGTGATTGTTGGATTTATTGTTTGCTTAAAATATACGTTGCTAGATTTTTTATATAGTTGAATATTGAATGTGGTAGTTGTTTAATTACGAAAATGTTTGAGTGCTCGAAATGTGTGGCTCAAATTTGGCTCGAAATTGATTTTTTTTTTTTTTTTTCATTCTTTTTCTTCCTTCTTCTGTTACAGAGGAGGCAAGAAACAGAGGCGAGAGTCGTCGCAGGCAGCTCGTCATCGTCGCTGGCAGCAGCTCGTCGCCACAGGCAGCTCGTCGCTAGCAGCAGCTCGTTATCACAGGCAGCTCGTCGTCGTAGGCAGCAGCTCGTCGTCGCAGGTCCGTCTACGCTCTAACTTTTGCCAAGGCCACCCTTTTGGGTTTTCAACCTTGCGAGCTCTGTTTTTCTTTTCATAACCAATCACTCTTTTTTGCTTTTTTCCTTTTTTGGGAAAAAAAAAAAAAAAAAAAAATACAAAAACGACGCCGTTTAAAATTCGAGCCAACTTCGAGCCTGAGTAATTCGAGCTCTGTAGCGGGTTCGGTTTAATTATAACAATTTTTATTTGAATTTTGATTATAAATGAGTGAATAAAATCATTAAATTGACATATTGGATATTCTTTTTCTTCGTAGTGCATTTATAATTTTTGGAGGTAGGTAGGTTTTGTAGTTTTTTCTTGTATATATTTTACAATTTTAATATGTTTATTTTAAAATTTCCATGTATAACTTTTCTTAGTGTGTGTGTTTTTTTTTTTTTTTGGTATGTTTAATCTTAATTTTGCTAAACCTTGCATCAAATCTGTGGCATAATTTAAACATACTTAAAAGTGGAGTCATTCTATTTGAATCCAAAAATTATCTCACCGCGCCCACTTAAATTTTAAAATTTTAATTTCTATTATACCCTAACTAACATAATTACCCGTGCAGGTATAAATAAATAATCAAAAATTAAATAATAATCTAAAAAAATTATCTACAATATTTAGCAAAAATGATTTAGAATCAATTAAATTTTATTCATATTTATCAAAGTTACACATAAGAGATTTTTTTTTTTTTTTATTCTTATGTCATTAATTGAGTGCTCTAAATTCTTAATAACAAATATATGTCATAATTTAAGTGGTAAAAATTAAAAAATAAATCACAAGAATTATATTTATGAGAAAATATAAATACATTTTGCCTAATGAGTTTCGTAAATTTAATTTATCATATGATAGTGGTAAATTACGTTTGTCAATATAGCAATTTTTTCACGTTTTGTGAAGTCTAAAAATTATAATTTGTCTTATGTTATTAAATTTATTAATATTAGATTTACGCCAACTTCTCCTTCACCTAATTATTAAAAATTGTCTTGCTCTATTCCCAACTTATATAAATCATTTGACCTATGTATTTATTAAATTAGTAAATAAATATTTGTAAATATTTGTTTGTAATAAAAATAAGAAATACGGACTTATTGTATGCATACTTATTAAAAAATTTGAACTATAGTTTTTAAAAACAAAACTATATATTTATGTTTAAAACAATTAAATGAATAGTTATATATATTTATGTATAAAAAAATTATTTAAGATAAAGTCATCGTACATTGTAGGTCATATTCTAATTCTAATAAATTTAAATTTTATATTTAAATTATATCATAGTTTATCAGTTCGTGACTAATTTGAGCTAATTTGGAGGTTCTAATATTGGATTAAACACTAAAAAGCAGTCAAGAAAATTTAGTTCAAGTTGATTTTTTTTTGCCAATAACTCTTGATTTAAGCCGTCCTTAGAGAATCGTCTACGTCATGCTCAATCCATGAGTTAATAGACCTACCTATTTATTTAATTTTTAATTAGTAAATATATTTTTTTAAAAAACATTTATAACAAAAATAGGAAATATGTACATATTTGTTTGGTATATTTATTAACAATTTCAAAATTAATTAAGAAGTTATGTACTTATCCTTAAAGCGATAAATTACATTGGTAAACCCTATATTTTAACTCATGTTATTTTTGTCCTTGCAATTTTAATTTGCTCAATTTTGATCCTAAATTTGTAATTTTGTCTCAATTTGATTCAATTGTTATAATTGCTAATGTTTTTTTTAGGGCAAATTACACAAATAGTCCCTATAGTTTGGGGTTTGTGTCACTTCCGTCCCTGACTTTTCAATTGTAACACATTTGACCTTAAATTTTGAATCTTGTTCCAAATAAGGACAATTGAATATATAATTAGATTTTTCAAGGGTAAAATTGTCAATTTGATAAAATATAAACTAATTTGACAAAAATAAATGTCAAACAAATATTTTTGAATTTTTAAAAATTATTTCTTCCTACTAAAAATAAAATTATGTAAAATTGATAAATCTTTTAGATATTTTTTTTTAACCAAATTAATTTTTATTATGTGTTTGGATGATGATCGTGTAAAATTAATTTTAAAAAATTAATCATGTAATTTTTATTAATTTTACATAATTTTATCATTGGTGGATAAAAATAATTTTAAAAAAATTAAAAAAAAAATTTTGACATTTATTTTTGTCAAATTAGTTTATATTTTATCAAATTGACAATTTTACCCTTGAAAAATCTAATAATATTTTCAATTGTCCTTATTTGGAATAAGATTTAAAATTCAGGGTCAAATGTGTTACAATTGAAAAGTCAGGGACCAAAGTAACACAAGTCCCAAACTATATGGACTATTAGTGTAATTAACCCTTTTTTTATTGAAAATACACACATGAGTAGCATTTGTAATACTTTTATAGACAAAATTATAAACTTCTTCAACTCAATAAGTTAATCTCAACCAACTCAATAACTATTTTCTTTCAAAAATCTTAACCGGCAATATCAATTGGACCAAATTAATACAAAACCTAAAATTAGAGGTAAAAATCAAACTAATTGAAATTACAGAGACCAAATTGACACAAGAGACAAAATGCGAGAACTATCGATATAATTTACCCTTCTTAAAATATGTTTGATATTGATTACATCAATATTAAGATATATTTATATCTGAAAAACTAGTTAAGACCAGATCAGGCTAGAAACTGAATAAAAAATTAATGGCTTATTAAAATTATTTAATAATTATAAATTCAAATTTGATCAATTTTTTATTTAAATTTATTCATAGAATTAGGTTGCTTGATAATCTTAATTTATAGTTCCAATTTTTCCTTGTGTGTTTTTTTTTTTAAAATATTTTTAAATTATATATAGTAATAATTTCTTTTGAAATTTCCTTTTCAATCTCAAATTAGCTATCACTTGAATTTGGTTAAAATTTATTTTTGACTTCTCATCTACAAAAACTAACAATAAACATAAATTAATTTTTTGAACATTGTAAAAAAGTAAATAAAGAAATATATTATCAATAATGATAATAATAACAAAACATATTTTTATTTATCATGTGACGTCTCACCACTGTATTGATAATAGACATTAATAATAAAATTCATTACGATAATACAACAATAATATATCAAATGATAAGTAACATGTGATCACAATAATTTTTGATAGTTCTATAAAAGTACCCAAAATTATATATAAGAAATAATATATGATCCATATTCAATTTTTATATGGTAAAATTCACACTCAGTCTCAACCACACATTAGTTTTCTAAATCAATTCATCACCCAAACTATCTACTATTCTTTTAATATTTACCTTTTCAAAATCCACCAAAACAATGCTCTGGCCGAAGTAATCATCACCCTTGTTGTTGCCATGCTTACCATTAGAGATGGCAATTTGACCCCGCCCCGACGGGGACCCGATCCCCTGACCCCGATTCGAACGGGTTTTCCCCGAAAATTATCCCCATAGGGCCGGGGATGGTATTGAAAATTAAATCCCCGATGGTTTTCGGGCCGGGGACAGGGATAGGTTCCCCCGGCCCCGGCCCGACCCTGCTCCGAAATATCCCCGAATAATTCCCCGGATATTCCCCATACATATATACATGTTTAAGGCACCTCTCTCACTCATCTCATCACTCATTTCTCTCAACCTCTCTCCCCATCTCTCTCTGCACAGCTTCTCTGCTCACGACGTCGGCGCTGATCTCCCTCCTCTCATTACCACCGATCTCCCTCCTCCCATCACCACAGATCGCCATCATCCTCCATTGCCGTTGTCCCTTCTCCCCATCACCAATGTCCTTCCTCTCCATCGCCGCTGTCTCACCGCCGATTGCTGTCGTT